GGCTTTCCAGTGATTTTCTTAATTGGGGGACTTGTGAGAGACTGATAAATAAATTTAAAAAATCTAAATCGAAGCAGGGGAAGCTGAGATATCCTGACTTTTAGACCCTAGTCAACTCTCCTCGACATTCCAAATTACTAATTTGTTTTGCCAAAAATGTTTTTTAATATTCTGGGCCTTTTTTGCCTTTATTGGGTGAGACAGCCGAAGATGGACAGGAAAGGGGAGAGAGAGGCGATGACACACAGCAAAGGGCCACAGGTTGGATTCAAACCCATGGTTGCTGCAGCAAGGATTTAGCCTTGGTACATGGGGTGCTAACTCTACCAGGTGAGCTATCAGGGCGCCCCACCGAATGTGTTTTGAGGGAAAAGTAACCGCTGTCTGGATTATATTCAGTGTCAACATTTTTTCCAGTGAAGGAAGTGCCATGTTTTTGTACTGCACACATGTCTCAAGGAGGTTGTTGGTGTGATGGGCATACAAAGTGACACTGGACTGTGACACTTGAGGCTGGGGTTAGTATCCTGAGTACCTTGTGTGGTTAGGTTTAGGTGACAACAGCTCTTTGGTTAAGGTTTGGGAAAGTCTCAGTTAAATGTTAAGGAAATAGACAAGTCACTGATGATTTTTTTGGTCAATATTTAGCCAAAACCTTGAATTAAAGGTGAACCTAAACTCAACCAAGTGCTTAGCATAACTTTAAAGGTACCTTATGGACTTTATGACCACTAGTAGTGCTAAAGAGCAGTGTTTTTTCTGAGCCTGTTTTGTTTGCGTTATGCATGGGACCTTTTTATCACTACAATCAGAAAATACTGTACTGACAAGATTCCCTGAAATGAAAAAGTTATTTCCTCTCCAAATTCCTCTGTGGCAGATTACTGATCTGCCCTTTATGACTGCCTATGAAGGAGGTTTTATAATGCTGCTTGCAGTGAGGAACAATGAGGTTTCAAAGCTTCTGCAGATGAGAGGTGGAGAGGGCGGCTGTTATTAATGACAACGAGGACCTTCTCACCTGTAAGGTTGGTGACCTCTAGGTGAGTGCCACAGCCCCCCTTCTATCTCCATCTCATCTTTGGGTCTACAGCACCCCACTCTCTGGTCAGGATTCAATTACTGCTGCCTGGCCGACCCTTGACCTCCCCTCCACCAGGATGAACCTCCTCCTCTGACCCCGATAGTGGAACCAGTGTTAACCTTCCTAGTGATGGGGAAGGTTCTTCTTCCCTTCTCACTACTATCCTGCCTCCGAAATGAGACCTTATTATTATGTCCTTAGATCATTAATTTAAAATCTTTTTTAATACTGCTTGGCTGCAAAAACAATGAAATTGCTGCTGAGATTTATTTTCTTCATCATCTGAAAAATGTACTTCTACAGCAGTATTTTAGAGGTTTTATTTTTCTGTATTTACAGATCGATCTTTCAACCTTGCTCTAAGCTGCAGTCGATGGTTGTTAAGCCATTGCCGTCTCTTAATCACAACACAGATACCTGTTAATTACCAAACGAGTTCAAGTGTTTTTGCTACTTAAACAGGGATTTGATATCGATGCGTTGCTTTGACCCAGGTCGAGCAGTGAGCACAGTTGACCATTTAATGAATCATTGTGGGTTCTGTGCACAGAGTCTGAAGGAGATGAAGAACCGGGAGGATAAAGCAATGGGTATATTAATAGGCAGCTGCACGGACGACAGTGTTTGGGTATTGGGTCAGGGATAAAGCATGAACTTGTAAACTCACAGAGGGGCCTCTCCTCCCTCCCTCCCTCTCGCTAACTCACTCTCGCCCTTCGTGGTGTCATCAGTTAGCAGAGCTGGGCTCGATAGCCCAGGCAGCTCTACGAGAGCAGCGATTAGACATCTCTCTGATTCTCATCCCCAGCAGAGTTCACTCAAAGGTAAGCCAGTAGTTTACATCCTCAGAGACACCGGTCTTCCTCTGCCTTTGCTCTTCACCGTCTTCTGTTTTGCTGTATCTATTCGATGCTATTGGCATGGAGTGGGAGTTTCATGTCATCTCTTGAAGATACAACAATATGAGAATGTATTTTAAAAAAAACTACATCTGCATTTCTATGATCATGAAGAGGTATTGAGTTCATGTAAATGACCCCCCCCCCTTCTCCATAAGTGTCACTGGTGTCACTGAAGAGAGTGCCTCCTCTTTATTCTCTACCACTGACCAGCATCCGCGACAGAGGCGCCCAGTCGGCTGCAGGGTTTATTCCAGCCGACTTGCGTCTGAGGTGTGGTCTCAGTGGGCCATTTTGCTGTGATCACAGCAGGCAGTGGGAGGTTAATCCCAAGAGAATGCAAGCTCAATCTCCCCCACCTCCAGCCTGCACCCAGGAGCCTCACATCCCCTCCTGTATAATGGCCCGATGGAGCTCTGTGGTCTGTGGCTGACACCTACCCAGATTTCACTTCTGCTCTGAGCTCTTGGATTTTTATGACATTTTACAGTCCTGTAGGTACATTACCGAGCATGACAGAGTGGCAGATGACCTCTCATCTCTTTTAGAATAATCTAAATAAAGTATATAAAAGAGATTTTTTATTTACTAACAGCTTAGTGTGTCTTCCAAAATATAGAAAATGTACTGTCATCAGTGATGCATGTGATAAGCTACAGTGTAAAAGCTGTAAAAAAAAAAAAAAAAAAGATCCACGAGGGTCAAATGTTAAGTTTCCTCTTTAGTATTAGTGATTAATACCAATAACATATTTTTGGAAAATGTGTGCCTTCCAGTATCCAGCTATGAGAATTAGCCCTGTTAAAACATGTTTTGATATACATTTAGTTTGTTGGAGCTCTGATAAATTATTTCAGATGGCAGAGCATGCATCTGTTTTTCCCTGGAGTCTTTCACACATATCTGTGCGTAATTAATGTGGATTTTGACAGATGGAGAAAAAAAATGTCCTTGTAAGAGAGAAGGGTACATGCCACAATGTGTGAAGTGCAAGCATGGAGAGATGCACTTGTATTATTTGCTGCCCGTGCCAGCTGGACCAGCCAGATTCTTACAGGTAGAAATTCAAGCTCTAAATATGTGCAAAAAATCATTCAAATTCAGTGCCCACCATAAATAGGCCATGTTTTTTTGTTGTTACAGTTGGAAATGCATGTGAAATGTTCTTAATGTTGTTCTAAATTTGGCTTTGGGAAAACTAAGCCTGTCCTATACAGTGTATCTCCATCCATGGTAACTTTCGTGAAATATCCAATAAAGTGCTATTCCTTTCAATGATAATTGTGACTGGAGGTCATTTTTAATTTAAACTCCTTTAGTCTGTGTGTGCGTCTGTGTGCGTCTGTGTCTGTGTGTGTGTGTGTGTGTGTGTGTGTGTGCTGTTTTTTTGCCACCATGTTATTTATGAATGCATCAGGGCCTGACTTAAATATTAGTGTAACTACATTATCACAGTGTCTTTGCCTGGTAGCAAACATGTACAAATGAGGATTACAACTCTTCAGAAGGCAACAGGTCATGGTTGGTAAGCTGCCCGGGGGGGTCACTGATATAGAGTCACTTTTGACAGGCTGTGGAGGAGGCTCTATTGTTGCTGGTGTGTCTGGATGTTACCTGCAGGCACTATCACTGAGACTACAGTATTATCCTATTATTAGGCTTAGTTGTTTACGCTTATTACTGCTTGTCAGGTAGGCAGAGAATCCTTCTGAAAAATGAGCATCTGCAGAAAAATACATGACTACTTCTTTATCTCATTCAAGTACATCGGCTTACGATAATTTTCAGAGGCCTTTTAAGAATGTCTTGATAGGACACAACAAACAGAAATTTAAGGTTTATGTTTACGTGTGAGCATTTGATTCTATGAAATGTTTCACTGCGCCACAGACCGCGTTGTTTGGCAGCCAGTGTAAGGATGTAAAAAATGCTGCATCTGTTTTATATGTATTAAAGCTGATATAATTATGGTCTTTCTTCAGTTGAAAGTACATATACAGTAAGAGGACATCATGGATTGAAACAGCCTCGATTAATGTCTCTGTTTGTAGAGGAAGTGAACAAAATAAAAAAGCCCATCATATGGTCTGGCAGATTTTGGGCACAGGACCAGGGATGACAAATGTGCTCTCGCAATAATTCAATCTGCTCTCATAATTCTCTAACTTTTAGGGACAGACAGAATGAAAAATTTCCGGCAGTCAAGCCGCCAAGTCAACGTCCAATAACTGTGATCAAGTGTTAGTTAAGATGCTTTTTCTCTCACTTTATTTATTGACAGATTGAGGGGTACAAAGATACTGGGTAAGTGGCAGAAAGTTACTGTGAATATGTTAACGAGAGGATTTGGTATCTGATCCAAAATGTTGTCATTTTATTGATGTCACAGTAATGATATTAACTTTAAGGAATAACAGAGAAGAGACAGAGCTGTACTTTATCTGTGTGTGCAGTTAGTGATCAGCAATGCTGCAGAACATATTCTCATGTGTAGTGTTGCCTTTTTGTAACAGTTTTATTTCATGCTTATTGTATCAATATTGTCTCGTGATTTTCTTTTTCCAAGCAACATTTTAGTCTTGACAGCTGAAGTAAGACTGTTGAGATTATGTGTCAAGCCAACAAAAGGCAAACCCAGCCTTCTGGTATGAACTGGGTTTGTCAGCTTTTTTCTACTTGACAATCTACAAATCAGTTGACTACATAAAAAGCAAACTAGACATTATGTCAAATATCACACTTTATAGTATTTGTTGGTACAATAAGTTAAAGCAAAGAAAGCAAAGTGAAGCACCTGTTTTGGAGTATTTAAACTAAGTATTGTTAGCTGTGGAGATTGCTGTTAAGCCTTCGGCAATGTTGACGCACAAACAGCTCATGGCTGCATTTAGAAAGCAAAAGGGATCAGGTACCGCTGTTACTGGAGCTGCCTCGGGGCCAGCCACAGTGTGTGAGGTACTGTAGTATAGCACTTGTATTAAAAGTAATAAAAGATATGAATCTCCTTCTGTTTGCAGAAAAAGCTGTACGTTCTGGTGATGGTTGATCCTGATGCTCCGAGCCATACCAAACCAACATCTGCTTACTGGAGGCACTGGCTGGTGGTGAACATCCAGGTATAGTACAGTAAGTCTGCAGTAACCTCTGCTCTCACTTAAAAACAGCCTTGTGTTTTGGTGATGGCGACACAGGCAGCATTTGTTATTGGATTAGGTAACTCGAACGGTACAAATTTATGAAGTAGTGTTTGGATTTATTTTTCTTGAAAATTTTGCATTTTCATAATCTCAGGGTCTCACTTGGCATGTCTTGTGTTTACATCTGTACTGGGGCCGATCGCAAGGCTGAAAAATTATGAATGGTTTTTAAGCCTAACTTGGTGAAAAAAGGATGCCAAGTTCAAAAAATGTTAATTTTTCATATCATGTATCTTGTGCAATAAATGCCTGTGACAAAAGTGTGGGAGTAAGTCTTTCTAAATGGCTGTGAAAGTTTGCAAGGCCCTGTCAGCAGCAATTTCCCTCTGCTGCAGAGAGCCTGGGACGTGTCAATGCAGGCGTGTGAGACTGAGATTGAGGAGAGCAGCATGCGAGGCGCACACTCTTTCTCCCATAGAGCTCCAGTCCCTCAGCTCCCCCTCCAGTGGAGAGATCTTGGCAGAGTGTCCTCCCTTCATCTGTTCCCCCAGGCAGAGCAGCTCCCCCAATGATCCACACTTCTCCATATTTTACACCCCCGAAATGGGCACAGCTCCGATCCCCTTATTTCTCTTCATTTTTCACTCCTTTTTATCCATTCGTTTGTGTGTTTTCACAGTCTTGCATTCTAACGCCAAATGCGTGTTGAGTTGTTGATTGCCTCAAATATTTGGAGGTTTGCAGACATTTTATAATCCCGCGGGAACCGGGAGATCAACCCAGTAGATTAAGACTAGTGGTCTGAAAAACAAGCACACAAAGACGCTTCAGCGATGTATCACTGCTCCCGTTTCATTTTATAAGGCGTCGTTGTACACTAAGTAAATGCCATATTGATTCAAATATCAAATGTGATGTATCTGGGATATATATTTCAGTAAACCCTTTCAATGGGTATAAATTCAGAATTTTGTGATTCAGCTCATTGTTGCGGAGCTTCAGAGATGATTTATGCAACCACATTCCTGTGCCCGTGAGAACATTTACCTCATATCACTCGCATTCATCAACGATATACAAAAAAACTAAATGCATAATAAATAATAAAATAAAATTACATTAGGCATCACCTTTGCTTCTTATTTTTAAGCCCATAAAGTCTGTCTGGCCGTGTGACCAGCTGTGAATAAACAAATGTCTTTCAAGTGCTCAGACAGACCACATTCTCTCTAGCAATTCAATTTCCTGTCACTTGTGTGGGTGTTGACCTGCGTTGCCCATGTAGGGATTGGCCAATGTGACGGCATGTTTTTCTGATTGTGACTGGTGGTTGGTCAGAAGGGTTAATGAGCCTTTTGAGTGATGCCAACCCGTAGTGGGAGGTGTTTAATTGACCAGGGTGGCAAGGTGACATGACACAACCTCAGTTTTGTTTTTTCAAGTGTCGATGTGCATGTGTTGGATTTTGTTTCAGTGCAGTTGTGATTTTGACAGCAATGCAGGCCAATTTATGAATTAATGCCTGCCCATGTATATAATTCAGCATCTCTGCTCTCTGTAATTTAGCTGAATCTGTATAGAAAGTAAAGAGCGTACTGTACAATAACATGTTTGGCATTTAAATTGCTCTTTCTGGCAATGCGTTTGATGGTAGATTGTTGTGTAAAGCAAAGTAGTTCCCTTAGCTGCAGTCAGGGGTCATGCTTTCAAATGTCAAATGGATCAGTGTTTTGATACTTACTCATCAAACAGTACGAGCTGCAGCAGCCATATTCTTTTCATATATATTCATTAGTCCAAGGTCATGCAGACTTGCCCTAGTTTGTAGATGTTTCCATAATTAGTGTGTATTCTTTATCCGTAGCCACAGCCATGAAGGTAAAAGATTTCCTTAATTCAGCCGAGAGTGTAGCGAGGTCAGGCTGGACCGAGCAACGCGGCACCATAGATTTACAGTGATTCTTGAGCTGAGGTCTCATTAGAGAAGAGATGGCAACACAACAAGGACACGCTGGACTATGTTGTGTATTACGGACTCATCACTCACCTTGCTTCGAGCTGTATTATGTAGCTAGCTCTTCATTTGTCAAAACATGGGCTGAGGATCTCCTCACACAGCCACGCCAAAGCCCTCTTGAACCACACGGAGAGGTGTTTGAGAGCCTGATATTTGTTGCCACATACTGTACAGTGCTTCACATACATACAGTGTTCATCCACAGCTACAACGTGGAGCCTTATGTGAAGCAGAATTTGGCAGATGTAATGGTCTTCCTGAAGAGCCGTGGCTCGCTGTTGCTATCTCACCAGCAGGCTATAGCTGATATGTCTGTGTGCTTTTAGCCGTTTACTCTGGTTTTAAAGGTCCAGTGTGGAGCATGTTGGTAGAAATGGAATATAATCATTCAAATGTATGTTTCTACAGTAGCCCCGAACGTACAAACCAAACAGTGGTTCTAGATAGTGTCATAGTGGCCACCGCAGTTACTCCTACATGCTTGAGGGTGAGGCGTGGGCATTGCAATCAGCTGCTACACCGCTTTAACTACATCTTGTCTTTGTAAGGCAGAAATGTTTCACCACTGCAACAGTATTTTTTGGTGTCTCATAAGTCTGCATGTGCGTGGTATGATAAATAACATAACTAACTTACTACATGAGTTCCATGTAAACACCAACACACATATATAAATATGCACAATAACCGCCCAGCTAGCTGTGTAAGACAATCATATTTTAATGTTTATGTCAGGTGTCAAATCTTTTATTTAACTGGCTGTTAATTTATCACATCATTACTTTTGACTGCCAAGAACAATTTACTCCAGCAGTTAAGTGTAAACTGTGTGGCTGGGTGTCCCTCCTTCTCCCACCAGCTGTCCAGTTTCTTTTAGCACTCACATTATTAGATGCTGTATGTGCATTTTCATCGCAACTGCCCATTTTCAATGACCCCCAGAGCTACAGAAACCGTAATTTAGAATCTTCTGCAACACACTCTGTGTTTTACATCAATTATGGACAATTACCAAAATAACCATCAACAGATTGTTGTCTAGCTCTCGAAGTCGAATTCCAGATTGTGAGCCTCTCCCTCCCTCCCTCTGCTCTCCCAGAGTCTAAATCAATGCAGATGTTCCGGTATGGTCTCGCAGCGATAATTACTGTAACAAGCAAATCATTAGTATGTGAATAGAGGCAGCTTATATAAATACAGCACTGGGTGTTACTTTTACTTGTTAATACTTATTCTCTCATTATAGTTTTGGCGGTTTGTGAGTCAACATGATGCAATATGAACTCGCAAAACAGTGCTACAGTTAAAGCTCTTTCCTGCTCTGAGAAAAGCCAAGGTGTTCATTAACACTGTAAAATCCCATTTAAACAGTCAGCGATATATAGCCTTAGGTTTTTATGGATTTTTTTCGTACTTTTTATAATGTATGAAGTTTCTCTGCTGAGGGTTTGTCTCCATGAAAGGTGTTAGTTGTCTGCAATACTTAACTTTTTGTGTACTAATGTTGTGCAGCAAAGTTAACATAAGGATAATTATTGGATTTTCTTTGCTTCAAATTTGATTTTTCTGTAAAATGCTTATATAAAAATCTATGCTGCAAATACTCAATATGTGTTGTATGAATCCACAAGAAGAAAAAGCATTAAGGCTATCAGATTTGTTGCTGTTTGATTGAATTGGATAGCACATTTTATAAGTAACAACAACAAGACATTTGTGACCCATCATGATCTGTTCGGGCTGTGTCCTATTCAGTCAGTATGGTTCTACATTTCCAGATTCACTTCAATAAGATCTTTGGATTGGAAGCCATCATATGTTTGTTAACTCCCTCTCCCTGGCTAATTGAAGGCCAGTTGGACAGTTCAGCACACTGCGTGCTCTGCTCATTATTATGGCGCACAAGGGACATGAATGCTTTAACATCCATCTCTGTTGTAGCAGCTCCCAAAGGCGGACAGAGCCTGTGTTCTGCTGCTGGTCAGGCAAATACAAACAGTGAAGTATTGTGACTGTATCAGACCAGCTGGCTTTGTGTTTGTGAATTCTGCGGCCTGCAGAGATCGTCTGCTCCACACCTCAAGATGTCCTTTAACTGCAAACTATTAGGCGTGTAACTTGTTACTGCACTTCATTCAAAAGGGGAGAACACTGGTGTTATTTTGTCTCTTTGTTATTATCAACCATTCACCTCAACAGGCCAAAACCCAAAGCCATTTTTTCCCGCAGGCAGGTTTGAATGAAACATTTAAAGTTTTTGGGAACAACAGTAGTTCATGTGATGATGAAGAAGCTATATAATGTTGTGGTTACAGAGATGATACTGGCTGGTAGGAATAATTAGTTTGGAGAAAGTAACACCCAGCTTATCCTTAAACATTTGTCCTTATCTTGTCACAGAAACATTTCTTCATACAGGCTGAGTGACTAAAGTATGTCTTTAAGTTGTTAAGTTACAACTGATGTCAAGTTTTGCAAAAACACTCAGTCACTAATCATTAGTGCAGCAGAAAATGATAGTACTGAGTGTTGAAATTACATTTTTAACCTCTACAATAGCCTTAGAGTTTGTTTTAGCAAAATACCTATCCAATATTGCAAATAAACATACATAATTGCATTGTTGTTTAGCCTGTAATTATCCCTACTGTGGCATGTTATGATTTTAAGCGTTTATTTTTGACAGACAGCTGCCCCCATATGGAAGCCAAAAACAATTTCCCAAAGGCCAGACAAACCATAGCTAGCTTCATTGTGAGAACAAAGAACCATTGGTATTATTCATAATTAAACTCTTATTGTGTACTCTGCTGAATATTTCCATTCTTCTGCCTCTCTCCTGCTCACTCTCGTTTCCCCTCTCAGTACTTTGCACCTCGTGCTGGGAACATCTGTCTGGCGTCAGAGTGGAGCCTGGCTGTGCAGATTGGAGCAGGTAGAGGAGCACATTGTAGCCCAGCTA